CTGAATTGTCACTTCTATCTTATTTTCGAATATATGTAAAGAAGATAAGTAAGTGTTTGCATCTTGATATTACTCCAATGCATATCTCTCACTAATAATTTTTTTTCTGGATTTGCTTCCAAACCCATCCCATTGAGTTTAAAAGCCTTATACAAAACCACTTGTCACATCCAATCAGTGTGTGCCTTGTAAAAGTTTCAATGTTAGGAATCAAAACATTACTAACACATTGTCAAATTTAGTTTTCCAAGTATGACACATACCTGCCTTTGTTATCCTTTGCCTTCCAGTTTGCTCCTTTTGCTAACAGCAGTTTCACACATTTTAGGTTTCCCTGAGTAAGCAAACAACAGTAGAACAAAATCTTGTCAGGTATTTTATTTACAGTATTATTGTGCAACACCAGAAAATATCCGGTTACACACCCAACAGTTACAGAAGGTCAATGCTAATTCCAAAGATGGGAGGGGGTTTGGTAAGTTAAACTGCAATTTCCAGAGGGGTGGAGTGGAGTTCATACCCCTGCCCCCCCCAAAAAAACCTTCCATGGGAGGGGGTGGAATACAGTAATTCTGAGGCAACACATAACAAAATACCCAGTACTGACAAATGCGTCAAACCCAAGGTTTGATAATTACAACTTACAATAAACAAAATAATACCACGACTTATCTCATACCTGATATGTTGCCCAGTGGAGAGGAGTCCTACCATCCACATCACAAGCACTGACCTGTTTCGCATAATAAATTATTATAATTTAATATACCTGATAATAAATTATTACAACTACGTGAAGTNCAGCAAGTCTAAACTTTAATCACAAAACAACTCCATAAAGCATACACAGTCACAAGCGAAAAAGACAGTCCAGAACTAATGCACAATCATACAGCACAATCTCTAAAGAAGTGCTAAAAAAGACTAAAAGTTCTGAGGGGTGGGTGGGTGGGGAAGTCAGACTATGGCTGAAAGTAACAAGAACAACTGCCTGCCTTACAAATCACATGACCTTTTATTAGCTCCAGGCCCCAGTGTAAGTGTGAGAAAAAGATTTTCCTTTTACTCAGCCAGTAGAAGATAACACTTATATAGTACCACACCAAATCATCGTTATCCTCAGGTTTGCCAACTGAAAATAACCATGCCGGCAATTAAGCCATTCAAAGCATGATCAGCACTCTNCAAATAACATGACCTTTTATTAGCTCCAGGCCCCAGCATGAGCATGAGAAAAAGATTTTCCTTTAACTCAGCCAGTAGAAGATAACACTTATATAGTACCACACCAAATCATCGTTATCCTCAGGTTTGCCAACTGAAAATAACCATGCCGGCAATTAAGCCATTCAAAGCATGATCAGCACTCTCCTGTAGTTTTTTTTTTTGACGTTCATTAAAATTATTTGCACATATAAAAATAAGTATTACCTTCATGTAACAATCTTTGAAGAAGTGGTTTGTTTCCATTCACAGCAGCAGCATGTAAAGGAGTTGGTAAAACACCTAGAATCAAATTAAAATTAAAAGTACATGTAATTGATCTTTTTTCATTCCAAATTCTGCTCTATGATATAACTTTTATGAACATGCATTGAGGCAATGCTGTTTATGTGCACATGAAGTAAATTTAAGTTGCTTCGTGATTTCAATTTGTTCTCAGCCAAAATAGCTTACAATGTAAGATCATGTATGCCACTTAATATTTTGCCTTACATAGTGTGGGTACCCAGCTCATTTAAATATGAGCACACACTCAAGTGCATGCTAATAATGCAAGAAATCACATTCAACGATGAACAAATGTAATAGAATGGAATCATCTACAAAAATGGGAAAGAAGAGAGTATCTGATTGTC